CAGTGGAGAATGGAAGGAGAGTGAAAAAAGACTATATTTTGGAGGTCGTATGAGAAGATTTACTGGGCATACTAATACAACGGATATAAACAATTTGTAGCTTGTGTGTGTACATATTAAGTAAAATAAGTAATGAAGAGTTGAATCTCGTAATTAAATGTGCATATAGTTTTAAAACGAGATTTTCTGCAGTTGAGATTACAAAAGATGATGACTTAGGCTTCTTTTTGACGAGTGAAGATGTCTCTTTACATACATATCAACCATGCTTGAGGAACTGCAGGCGACCAAAAGAAACATATACCTCATAGGGCATAATATAGCATCACTAATCCCGTTAAGTGATATGTGGTTCCATATAGTTTGTGAGATGATAGAGTAGGTAATTCTCGTGATCACATACTCAGTCCATTGACTTTGATCCCTATTTGGTCTACCACCATTATTAAGATATTTATTTGCATCAACAAATTTTGTTTATCCTATGATAGGTGTGTTCAATATCCGATGAACCCAACCCAAACCGTACGGGTTGGGTCAGGTTAGATGAAGCCTCGGGTTGGGTTGGGTCTTAGGTTCAACCTTTAAGAAATCAGGTCAACCCAACCCAAAATCTGAATTTATGCATATATGTGTATTTTAAATTTAAAAAAAAAACACACACACACAACCCGACAACCCAACCCGAAGATATTGGGTTGGGCTTACCATCCAATTCAAACTCAGTGGTTCCTATATATGGCCAAACCAGGGTTGATCCTAAATTCCCTCTTAGACTCATTATCATATTATAAATCCTCTAGCCCACTTATATTATAAATCCTCGTTAGGTCTCTTTATCTTTTCAATGTAGGATCCTTAACATATCTTCTCAACTTAGCCATATCTCATTTTTTGACCGAATGCTCGCTTGAGCTTTTGGGTTCTAATACTWCATCAACATTCATGAGATTTCATTTCAAAACCAATTGGCAATGAGATGAGTACCCACTTATATTATAAACCCTAGTTATGTCCCTTGTCTTTTCAATGTGGGATCGGTAACAGGCTCGACCAGTGCATGATACTGTATACCCTCCATTAGGTCATCAACCGGTAGATCCTATACTCTACCATCCAATGGGGCATCGATTGGTAGCTTTTGTAGTAGGCTCTCAGGAACAAGGGATGGATGAGTTATTATTAATATTCATGAGATTCAATCTCAAAACCAAACGGCAATGAAAGGAGTAGCACATTTATATTATAAACCCTTATTAAAGTGGTCGAATCCCATTTTTGGATTGGATGCTCGTTTGAACTTTTGAACTCTTATACCATATCAATATTCATGGAGTTCCATCTCTGATTAAACAATGACGAACGAGGGAAAAAACGATCTATGTGCTAGACTTGTTACCATATYCACTATAAACCTTTGTTAGGTCTCTTATTTTTTCAATGTGGGATCCTTAACAACTATATGGTCCATGGCTGCAGTGGAAGCATCAGGCAATGTATGTGCTAAACTTCACCGTACCCTCTGTCACCTCCAAAATGTAACTTGATCGCCATTTATCGTAACCAAATCTTTAGGGTAGATATTCCATAATTATCATAAATTAAAATAAAGTATCATATAACTATCACACTTACACGAGGTGACTTCAAGATATCACTGGCTAGCACTCAAAATGGACGAGAATGGGTGTAAGATCATCGGAAGAAGGCGATCCACAACACGTATACTCAATGTCGATAATCTATATCTAGGGTGGAAGAAACTAACCCTAAAAACCATATAAATCAGAAACAGACCACCCAATTGGGCTGTTTTTCTTTTACCTATTTTTCTTTTTTTGTTTTTGGACGATATATCCAATTGAGTTGTAGCCCTACTTACAGTTAATGTTGATATGTTAAAGTGAGATTTAACCAAAAATAGAGGGGCACTATTGTCCAAATAAAAAAACCTTCCCTGCATATAAAAACTCATATCCTCCATTACACCCCTCACCAACAAAGCTCATTAATTCTCTCTGTGATTTCGTATCAAGAACAACAAGAAAAAGAAGAAGAAAAAAGACCCCATTTTTTCTCTATCAATGGAGGTGGCGAGAAAGCATCATCAATGGCAGCATGAGGTGCTGGTTCTGGCATTCCCCTTCGGCAGCCATCCGGGTTGTCTTCTCGGGCTGATCAGAAAGCTCGCCGACGAAGCTCCGGCCGTGAAGTTCTCCTTCTTCAACACGGCCAGGTCTAACGTGGTCATTTTCAAGGACGGCGGACGAAACGACAACGTTTTTCCTTACAGCGTCGGCGATGGCTTGCCGGAGAGCTACGCGAACGGAGGGGGAGTGCCGGCGGAGGCGGCGGAGTTATTTCTGAAGGCGGCGCGTGGGAATTTTAGGAGCGCGATCGAGGCGGCGGCGGAGGAGGAGGTGGAGGTTGGAGGGGTGGTGAGCGACGCGTTTCTGGGGTTCGCCGGAGAGATGGCGGCGGAAATGAAGGTGCCGTGGGTTCCGGTATGGGTTCCGGGGCTACGGAGTTTGGTTCTTCATCTTCATACGGATTTAATTCGCCAAAAACTGGCGGATTTTGGTATGTGTGTTCTCAACAAACTTCCTAGTTCCTGATGCAAAAACAACTTTAACTCAAACAAAACCTACAATTATATATGGTGTCTAAACCTACCCATTTTTGCCTCTAATATATTTTCAGGATTATTAAATATTTTTGTAAGATTGAAAGATGTAACTTATAAAATACATACAAACTAATTAATTAGTCAACACTCTCGTGTTTTCCATTTGACCATCAATAAAAATTCGATAACTTTTGATCCTGTTATTTAACCTCTTCTTCTCGTATGTTTCTCAGTATATTTTTTTTTATGAATGGTATGTCGTTAAAAAAAAAAACTTTTGATCTTGAAGAGACGTGGTTTGACCGATTGAGTTATACTCGAATTAACATCAATCAAAAAATATTAATGTTATGTAGAACATCAATCTACCCAGCATTATATTTTCGAGTGGTGGTCTCACTGTAATTTCCCTTTAGATAAATTAATTTTGCAACACTAGCTATGAAAAATAAAATTATCCAACGGAACTTGTTGCTGGAAAATAAAATGGTAGAGACTATTTTGTAAACTAAGGCTCAAAATGTTAGTTCTTTAACATTAGAGATCAAATTGACATAAGACCAAATTAAAAAGTCAAATTGTTTTTGTTTTTTTGTATATTTAACTATAAATTTAGATTAGTAACTTAATTAGTTTTTTATTTTGAATCTGTTTCATTACTTAAATATTGACGTGACAATGACATGTCGATTGGTGCGTCTACATTAAATCGAAATTTTAAAGGGAGCAATTGAAACTTTTCGAAGTTCAAGCACTAAACAAATTTAGTCATGACTTGTTTTTCAGAATAAAAAARAAATTCTCTTTGGCTAAAACATAGCATTTGATTATTTTTTGTAGCGGGAGATGATGAAGAGAAAGTTATCAACTTCCTCCCTGGCTTTTCAGAAATACGTAAGATTGACTTACCTGAAGGCATATTGCATGGAGACTTAGAATCACCCTTTGCAGTCATGTTACATAAAATGGGGTCTCATCTTCCAAAAGCCTCTGCCATCGTCGTGAATAGCTTCAAAGAGGCCGAGCCTGAGATGTTCGACATACTAAAACCAAAGCTGCAAAAACTTCTCACTACCGCACCGATTAACCTAACATCACCGACATCAATAATCTCCGACGAACATGGCTGTCTCGAATGGTTGGACAAGCAAAAACCTAAATCCGTGGCGTACATATGCTTCGGTACATTCATAGCACTCCCACCTCACGAGTTAGCAGCCCTGGCCGAGGCGCTAGTCGAGAGCGGAGTTCGTTTTCTCTGGTCATTTAGGGGCAACCCTAAGAAAAGTTTCTCTGAGGACTTTCTTCAAACAGTTGATGTACAAGGAAAGTTGGTGCCATGGGCTCCCCAAACAAGAGTGTTGGCACATCCTTCAGTTGGGGTTTTTATAGCTCATTGTGGATGGAACTCTGTTTTGGAGACTATAATGGCAGGTGTGCCTATGATATGCAGGCCCTCTATTGGGGACAATGGCCTCAACACAAGGACAATGGAGTTCGAGTGGAACTGTGGCTTAGGACTTGAAAAAGGAATCTTTACAAAAGAGGGAGCAATGAAGGCAATGGAGTCAATCTTAGATCCCCAAAAAGGAGCTAAAATAAGAACAAATCTTAAAGCTCTCAGAGATTTGGCATTTCAAGCTGTCGGACCTGAGGGTAGTTCAACTAAAAATTTTAATGTCTTGGTCGAGTTACTCACCAAGTAACTGTAGTTATTTCTCTTGATATCGTCTGCTATGTTCATTATATAGATGGAAATTTATGTATTATTCTAATTTAAATCTTATTTTAGTTGTTTGTGAACTTTTGTATATTCTGTGTTGTCTTAATTCTTAAATTTTAAAGTGTTAATATTTAAGTCTCTTTGCTTTTAATTGTTATGTTTTAGTACTTCAACAGTGTGGAAAAACTATTTTTTAATAATGCACTTGTAATTTTTCATTAATCATTTATGAGAACCTAAATTTTCTGTCAGAAAATAATAACAATATCCTAAATTCATTTAAAAATTCATCCGAATTAACTTTAAATCTAGTTTCAAATATTTTTGTTTGTAGTCCTTTATAATTGAGATTAGGTAAGTTAACAAAAAGAACGTCTGTATCATGTTTCTGTCAAATAGTTTATTAAAAAATTTAATGGCTGTTACTGAAATAGTATTTTTAATCTCAAATTCACATACTATAAAATTGAATGTTTGAATGTTAAGAATCAAAATAAGATAAAATTTAAAGTTCAGAGTTCAAAAATAGGATTTGGACTTATTACTTTTATGTTAATGCTTTTAAATATTTTTAGAAAATTAAAATGATACCTAAATTTTATGGAAAATCGAGATTGATTGTAGGAATTCTTATTTGCCAACTGAAATAAAAAAAATTGAGGAATTTTATTTCTCCAAATATTTTTATAAGGGAAATTGGGCATTTGAGAATGGAGCTTGAGCTTCTTCGAGAGATTCAAGTATTTATTTATTTATTTATCTATTTATTCATTAATTTTTTTTTCAATAACTGGGCATTTTTGTCTTTTGATTAATGCATTCCCTTAACAGTAGTTACAATATTACTTCATTAATGTAGTAATACAAAAAATTACAGGAAGAAGTTTGCAAGTTATCTTTTCAGCTTTAAATGAGTTCTTTTTAGTATTAACTATGGTTTTAAATATCCGTCTACATGTCGATATTTTCATCGACATATTCATGTCTTCATGGGTTCGACATCGACATGGAGAATAAATTAACATTTCCATCCTAATATAACAAAATCGACAAAATAAGAAACTAATATTTAAATAATATTAATATTATTATTAATTATTTTTAACTAATTTAGAAATAGAAAAATGCTTATTTGTTAATTTAAATATTTTTTACGATTTTTTTAATTTTTCTAACTTTTACATAAATATCAATCGACATCGACATTTAAAACTTTGATATTAATCTGCACTTGTTTGAATTTTATTGCATTCAAAAGGTTGGTGATTAACTTAGTGTTTGTTTTTAATAAATATTTTGTTTTGAGTTTTTATTTTAAAAATAAGCTAATTTAATTATTCGTCATTTCTTGTTTAGATAATTTACGTTTTAGAAAGTGTTTAAATTCCTAACTAAAAGTTTAAAAATTAACTAGATAATATATATGTATTTTTTTTTCTTTTTACGGTATTCTCTTTTAAGAATCATACTTAACAAAAAATTTATCTTTAGTTTGTATTTTACTTTAAACATATTTTTATAATCCTAATCTAAATTAAAAAAAAAAGTTTTCGAAGAAAGTCCTCTAAAGAAATAAAAAATATATATATTCTTTTTTAAATTAAGGTTTGAGTACTATTTACTCATCATAGTTTCGTCTTTATACTTTTAATTTTTTTTCATTTTTGTTTTTTAATTTCAAAACGTTCAAAATGAACTATTAAAACTTCCTCAATTTCATTTTAATCTTATTTCTTTTCATCACATTTTTAGCATGACATACTTAATTCACTAAATTTCTTGAAAAATATCCATAAATTTGTATTGAATAGAATCCATTACATACAAAATTTATTTAAAAAATTTGTAAATATGAATCAAAATGGTTCCCTTTTTAAAAATAGAAGGTCTAAAACAAATGTTATGAAAGTGTAGAAACTAAAATGAATCAAAATTAAATTAATCAAATGATTGAATAATACTTGGTTGATAGTTTTAGCTTTCCACCCTTCATATTTCTTTTTTTTTCCCCCCCTTTTCAAGACTTTATCTAAATAACCTTTTGATGAAAAAATGGTGTAAATAGTTCTATATTATTCTCTTGTAGTGTGACCAACCGATAATCTAATGTATGGTAATTTTCTCCAGCCAATGCTCAAAAGTTGTTTGTTTTTAGATTTAGGTTAAATTATGCAAAAACACCCTCTACTTTAAGCTTTGTTTCAAAAATACCTTTATTTTTTCAAAAAGCTTTTAATTATATTTTACCTTTCAAATTGTTTAAAAAATACACTACTCGAAAAGAGTGACGGGAAGTGATTTGGTTGATGACGTGTTAATGGATGACTTACGTGGCTTTTAAACAAGCGAACAGCCAACCACTCCGTCGCTCCTATTTAACGAAAATGTTCTTTAAATGTGTAGAGATCCTATTTGGTCGGAATCATTTTTTATAATTGCTATTTGTTATAAACAAAATATAAAAATAACAAAAACTAAATAAAATAAAATAAATATAATTTGATATTAAAAATTAAAACAAATATATTATATATATTTAAGAGAGGACATTTTTGTCCTTCTCGTCGAAGGAGGCGTTTATTTAATTTTAAAATTTCAAAATGAATATTTTTAATAACTACAGGTTTTCATTGAGCACTTAACTTCAAAATCAACATTTAACTCTAAGATTTAAGAAATTGTTTTAAATATTCTTAAACTTCTACAAGACAAAATAAAAATCCAATGTAGATGTGAAGATAGGAAATTGAATTTTCGACCCCTAAAAATAATAAAATAAGATGTCTTAATCGTTGAACTAAGTGAGATTAAGATTTTTAGTTAGATCAAATATTTGGGATTATTAAACAATTCTATTGCTACAATAATTGGGTGACCCTACAAAGTTCATTAACCCAATGAATGATCACCATTTGGATATAAAGTTGTGACTCTTTGAAAACGTAAAGTTAAGGTCCCCAACTTGAGTATTAACACTTATTCTTCTCTAACAATTCCAAAATATTTCATTTATCACCGCCATGGAAGAAGACCAGAAGATGCAAAATCTGAAATCCCCACTGATTCCGATCTCATCGCCGCCGCAGCCGGAGAACGGCGGATCCGTTGGGAAGGAGGAGATTGTGGCGGAGGTGAAGAAGCAGCTGACGCTGGCGGGGCCGCTGGTATCGGTAAATCTGTTGATAAATTGTTTGCAGATGATTTCGGTCATGTTCGTCGGTCACCTCGGGCAGCTCCCTCTCGCCGGCGCCTCCATGGCTACTTCTTTCGCCTCTGTAACTGGTTTCAGTCTCCTGGTACTAAATCTCTCTCCTCTCTCAAACCTTTTTTTTATTTGACTTATTCCATATAATGGAGAATCTTATGATTTTTTTTTTGCCTTTTTTAGAATCTGGAAATGATTTCAAACATCTTTTTTTTCCTGTTTCTGCTCACACCATTTATGGAAATTTTCAGATCTGATTTCAAATTAGTTCAATTGGTTAAGGCTTATAATCAAAAGATCTAAGTTCAATCTCAACTTCACTATTGTTTTCTATATAAAAAAATTCTTTATCAGGACATTCAATAGTAAGAACGCTCTCTTTTTCTTTTCCTTAATTTTTCACTTTTCTTTTTTATTTTCTTTCGCACTTTTTTTGAAAAATAATGTATTTTTGGCAATTATTATTTGACAATGAGAGTAAATTAATGTTGCATATTTTGATTCATGAATAACGCCATATATATAGGCCAAAGACTGAGTAAGTCTGTTACAGCAACTAACATCCAGACTTAACTAAAAGACAATTACAAATAATAAATAATCTCTAATAATTAATTATCAAAACATGTTTTTTATTATTAAAATTTCATTAACAGATTTAATATAAGTTAGTAAATGATATTTATGCTGTTTTGGTTAGGTATTGTCATATTAGCATAGAATTTATAAACTCTCACAAATTAGAGGTTGAAATCTCTATTCTATCTTGATTCAAAGAGAAAAGAGAAAAAAAAAATCAGGTAGGCTTGTTTATTTTTTTTCCTTTGTTATGGATTATAGGTTTGAATTCGCTATCTTCCTATCCTAATCTAATATTTATAACAAAATTAAAGACAACTAAGGATAAGACCTAGAATAAGAAAAGGAGATCTAAAAGAAGATCCATTCATCAAGTAATTAAATGAAGAAAAGATCTAGACAGGTAGTTTAAAAATTGCTGACAAAAAAGACAAAAAAGTAATAAATTATTACTAGATTCAACATCCATCTTTTCTAACCACCATTAAATTTTTTATAAGAGAGAAAAATGCTTAAATTTTGATTTTTTTTTTCAATGTTTTCAAAAGAAAATGAAAAATGATCGAATTTTAAGTTGTGGTTAGCGGGAGGATAGGTGCTTACTTATTTTCCATTCTCTGATAGGTCATTCTAAAAAAAACCTATTAAAATTTGTTACAAAAAGTTTGTCTCAATAAATTATTACTTTATTATAATATTTGGACATATGAACATGCTTCTAGGAAGATATTAATTTTTCTAAAAGTGAGTTGAATTTGGCTATTAGGTAGGTTGAGTTTCGTGTGTCAAATAGCATATGAGTCACATGTCCATATGTTCAAACATTAACGCAATAATCTAATGATCCATCTACTTTTTGTTCACATATATTTTTCACAAAATATCTAAGGGAGATTTTTAATACATTAGAGGTAAAGTTCAAAATTTTAAAAGATTAAAAACCAAATTTAGGATTACCTAAAAGATTAGGGATTATTGTGTATATTTTCCTTAAAGAATTACTAAAATTTGATTTTTATAGTCCAACAAATATGGAGTGAGAAAATAAAATAATTGATATCTTATTTAATGATGTCCGGATTATGTTTTTAGTACAGTAAATTGAGAGGAGGTGGATTTGATTTTCCTACCTCAATAGAAAGAATATGTGTCAATGACTGTATAATTATACTCATGTCGTGAATATTAGTTAGATGGATGATATTAATTTTACTGAGACTATCACTTGAGTACTAACTTAAATGACAAGACCCGAGTATATATTATTCTTTTTTTTTTTGTGGGTGGTGGGTCTGAATTTCATTTTCTGCATGAAAAAATAATATTTATAAGAAGTTTAGAAATTTAAAAAGTCCTTAAAAGGAAGAGCACTTGGACTGAATTATCGAGTCAATGATATGAAAAGGGGATGAGGACAACACAGGAGGGACTGGGGTGGCAGGCTATAAAGTGCAAAGAAAAGAGTTGTTGGGATCCTGGTTCTAAATATTAATGTGTCGATATATCTCTATATTTTTATGGGTTCGACAACGATATAAGGGATAAATCGATATTTCTATCATAGTACAAAAAAATCGATAAAATATGAAAAATATCAACAAAATGTCACTAATATATACATAATATCAATATTAATCAATTGAGATATGTTTAATTTATTTCTTTTATATATTTAAAAATATTATTACGAAGAATAAATTACCGAACTTAGTTAGTGTGCTCTTAGGGGGAGTGTAAGAGAAACTCTATGTCATATTTGGCTTCAAAGCCTAAAAATAGAAATGCCTTTTTTAGTTTTCAATAATGGCATAACTAACGATTGAATCTTTGAAATGATAATGATATTTGTTGTTCACTAAATTATGCTGGTATCAATCTAGTTAAAATATTTGGTTTTGTATTTCGTTTGCCAGATTGTAATTGGATAAGAATTTGGAAACTACTTGATGATTTTCGAGGGTCATTCTTGTTATGACCACTATTAAATATTTGGCATCTAATAAAAAGAAATTAAAATGTACAAACAAATATTTTTTTAAAAATAATAATAAATTGTCAATTTTTCAATAATAGTCATAAACGTTAATTTCGTGGCTGTGAACCATGAAAATAAATGTCCTATCATATCTAAAGAGTGTGTAAGTGGTTTAGGTTAGATTTGATATATTATATTATATATCAAAACTATTGGCAAACCAATATGTTATTTTATGAAAAATTTCAAAGTAATATTAAAATCGGATTTTTGAAAGTCGAAAACCAATCATCAAATTGATTGAATCAAAGATAATTCGTCCAAACTGAATCGACCAACAAAGTATGGTTCTATTATTAATGCTAACAATATAAATGCTTCATTTTGGTAAAAATTTTCGTTTCTTTATTCTTCCTTTACTATTTCTTATTACTTGTTTATTTTTTTAATGAAAAATAAAAAATAAAAAATAATACGTATTTGATCATTATTTCTTATCTTTAATTTTTCTTTCTTTTTTATCTGAAAAAAAAAAGAAACACATACAGTAATGTTTGGTGGGTAGTTCTTATTCTTTGTTCTCCTCAAATTTAAAATAAATAAAAAAAATTAAAGTTATACATTTTATAAGTAAAAAAAAATAAAATAATTCTTTTATATTTATGTCCTTGGAAACATATTGGAGAGACTAATCTTTTAAAATAATATGTTCAAGAAAATAGATTTTTTTAAGGGATTTTAGCATATTGCTCCCTTAGTTAAGATATTTAATTTTTAGTATAACAACATATATGGACGAGAGTTTGAAACTACAATTTTTTTTTATTAAAAATATATGTCTTAACTAATTGAACTATACTAAGTTAGCTATTTAAGATATTAATTACCTCTCAATGGTATCAAATGTTTGGAATTTATACATGTTGCTAAAAGTTACTCCCACTAAAAATTATAGATTAAAAACGAGAAAAAAAAAAAGTAGGAACACTTTTCAAATTTTGAAATGTAATTAAATTTTAAGAAAAATAGTTTAGACCATCAAAATTCTAAGTATCTCTCCATTTTATCGAAATTAAACCTTATTAATTAGATAGGGTAAAAAATTAACATATATATGTTTTTTATTACCCATAGAATGGAATGGGAAGTGCATTGGAAACCTTTTGTGGACAGTCATATGGAGCCAAACAATATCACATGTTGGGAATCCACATGCAAAGAGCCATGGTTGTTCTTCTTCTCGCCAGCCTCCCCCTCGCCGCCGTTTGGTTCAACGCCGGCGACATTCTCCGGCTGCTCGGCCAAGACCCCGAGATCTCGGCGGAGGCCGGCCGATACGCCCGTTTCATGATCCCCAGCATCTTCGCCTATGCAATTCTCCAGTGCCATGTCCGCTTCTTGCAGACCCAAAACAACGTGCTTCCCATGGCCCTCGCCGCCGGAGCCACGGCGGCGCTCCACTGCTTTACGTGTTGGGTTTTGGTTTTCCGATCGGGGCTAGGGAACAAGGGGGCGGCCATGGCGAACGCCGTGTCTTACTGGATAAATGCGGCGGCGTTGGTGATTTATGTCAGGGTGTCGCCGTCGTGCCGGAAGACTTGGACTGGTTTCTCCGGCGAGGCGTTTCGTGGGATTCTTAACTTTTTCAAACTCTCCGTTCCTTCCGCTCTAATGCTCAGGTTCGAGTTTTCTTTCTTTTTCTTTTTCCTCCTTATTTAAATTATATCCTGGTGTCGATTTGCCTTCAATTTTAAAATATTTATCTTAGTTCACAAACTTTATTTTTTCGACTCAACTAATTCATCTTACTCTAATACCATAACTCAAATCACAATTCAAACAGGTTAAGACATGCTTCGAAAGTCACTTTATATATCCATTGATTAAAAGCAAAATAAAGGTAAATACAAAAAATTATATATTTTTGGAGCAAAAACGAATATTTTGAATTTTTTATAGTTCAAGATTAAAATGAAGTGTTTTGGGTAATTAACGTGTGTTTGATGTGTTTTGTACTATAGTGTTTATGGAGGATTAAAAATGGCTTTTTTTAAAAAAAAAAAATTTTTGAAGTATTTAGTTTAAATTTTAATGAGTGTTTTAGCCAATCAAAAAAATTTCGGTAGTAAAAAATAGTTTGAGAGAACTCCTAAAAACATATAAAAGCAGATTAAGAATGCTTACATTTAGTTAGTTTTCTCCCGTGAGTTTTTACAAAACAAATTATTCATTTAATACAATCACATTTAATGATCTCTAATTAGTTATTAAATTTGAAGTTTAACTAATGATTTTGGATTAAGGTATATTAAAAAGTGGGAGATTGGAATCTCCACCCATATCATTTAAACTTAAAAAAAAAAAAAAACAAAAAAACTAGACGATTCTTCAAAGTTAAAAGAGATATGATTTTTTTTTTTTATTATTACTTTTTATTTTTTATGGAACAGCTTGGAGATATGGTCATTTGAGATGGTGGTTTTGCTATCAGGGTTTCTTCCCAATCCAAAGCTTGAAACTTCAGTTCTATCAATCAGGTAAATTTTGTAAATCAATTATAGTGTTAAAATGATCTAATTAATTACTCTAGTATATTAATCAATCTTTTTTCAGCCTCAACACGTGCTCAATGATTTACATGATACCCCTTGGCATCAGTGGTGCAGTAAGGTCAGTCACAGTTTTAATTTCAACTACCTCTTTCTATTTTAAAAATTTACTTTTTTCATATCTTTTATGCATTTATATGATATTATTTACGTTAAAGCTTCTACAGTCTGGTGTTTACAAGTCTTGAGAGATACTTGTAAGACTTAATCCAACTCTAGAGACTAAATTGGAACTTTTATAACCAATTGTGTCCTTATTATTTACTTGACAATGATGATTTAGTATTTTCTTTATTTGGCTCAATATGTTATATTTTAGTCATATGAATAAAAATTAGCTAGGAGGTGGATAAAAAATGATCTAACGACAATTTTAATAAATTTGATTAAACTATGAGAATTAAACCGTAACTTTCACCGCAGTAGAATGAGGAAATTGAAACTTTTTTACAACTACAGCATCATAAACTTTGGTTTTTGTGTTGATGAACAGCACGAGAGTGTCAAATGAACTTGGGGGAGGGAGGCCAATGGCTGCAATTTTAGCAGGATGTGTTGCATTGGGAACAGTGGGGACAGAGGGGGCAGTAGCAGCCGTAATACTGATCACTTGCAGGCGAATATGGGGTTACTGTTACAGCACAGATGAGACTGTGGTTGGATATGTGGCTCAAATGTTGATTTTGCTTGCAATTCTCCACTTCTTTGATGGAATCCAATCTATCTTCTCAGGTTTGGTTAACTTTGGCTCAAATTTCAAGGTTATATCGATCTAGTCTCAGAAATCGGACTGTATCTAGCTGTTCAGTCGTTCTTGCACGCCTCTAAACTTTTAAAACCAGCGAAAATGATCTACCCGATACAGAATTTAAAGTTTTCAAATGACCTGTTAAAAACTTTAAAGTATAAAGATAAGATAATAGACACAAAACTTGAAAGTTTAGAATTTTGTTTGAAACTTTCTTTTAATCTACGAACTCGTCTAAGTAGATAAGATTTTAAAAGTTTAGAGACTAAACTTATCATTTAACTTTGGACGTATTAGGTATTATAAGAGGATGTGGAAGGCAGAAGATTGGTGCCTTTATTAACTTGGGAGCTTATTACCTTGTGGGTATCCCTGTTGCCATTTTTCTAGCCTTCTTTCAAGGCATTGGAGGACAGGTGCTTTTCATTTTCAAATTTTTCCTTTTTCCTTTATTATTATTATTATTATTATTATTATATATATATATATATTTTTTTTTTTTTTGAAATTTTTGGGCAGGGGCTATGGATGGGAATCATGGTGGCTGTGTTCTTACAAGGTTTATGTCTTGGAGTCTTGATTGTATGCACAAATTGGGATAAAGAAGTGAGTTTTCCCATTTCTTTGATACCATTTTTTGTTTTAATCCGCTAAGTTAAATTTAAGTTTTGTAACTCTATTTTCTCTTGTTTTCAGGTTAGGAAAGCTGCGGATAGAGTTACGAATTCGATGCCAGAAAATCTTTTACAATGATACAATTGATTAGTCATTACTATACATTGATGTCGTCCTTCATTGATTGTAATTTTTGTAGTCTACCAAACATTTTTCGATTTTTGAATTCAATTATTTTTGACCTAATGGATTCATATTAGGATATACCATATCCTGCTTAATCTTGGGATCATAATTTGAAGTCATTGAGTAGTTCATATCACTTTACATATCTTTCTTTGCCAACCTAAAAATAGGTGTTAAATGAATGGTTTAGTTGCAATCCTTACCTTATACGAGAAATACGAGAAATTATTCAAAGGGAAAGATAATGAGCCTAGGTTGAATGATTTTTAGAGAGCAGACATAATTTGAAGCTATCTAATTGGTATTAGGGCATAATTTTTTCTCTTATATTTCAATGGCGATTGACCACTATAAAAAAATTATTTCTTTTGTTTGAAAAGATTTGTTTATAAAAAAATTATTCCTGACGTTTAAAAATATATAATCTGTAATCAAAGGATGGAAACAATAGGCCTGCCACTTCAAATATAATTTAAACTTAATATAATCACACATTATAATAAAAATACCTGGGAGGAAATATTTTCGTCCCTTGACTCACTAGCAACGAAAAATATTTCGATGCAGCAGTAGTTACTAGAACGACGTTCAAGTAGACTCCAGTAATAGAAAGTTGTGCATCGCATTTTTAGCGAGGAAAGCGTATTTTTGTCGTTGGTGTGATGAAACTAATTTCGTTACTTAAGCGACAAAAATGTGACGAAATAGTTTCAAATATTACTACTTTCAAAATCCATTTTAAAATATTCTCACTTTCAAACTTATTAGGAAAATAATGCTTCTAAAATTCACGCTATTAAATTTCTCCATACGTAGTATTAAATGTCGCGATATAGTCACGTTGTAATTAACTTTTTTTTTCCTTTTTAAATTCATACCATGTCCTCTCTTTATTTAGTAATACTGTCTATCTTGATTAAGAGATGTTAAACCATGCATTTGCCCCACGTATTGCAGGTCAAACTCTTCCTGAACAATTTTTCTTAAATCTCCTAGGTAGGAGTACACCAGCTGGCTGCCCTCCAATATATATACGTTTTTAAGAAAACAAACTTTAAACTAAATCTAACAAAAAAAAATCCAACTTCAAATAAAAAAAACTCTTAACTTCAAATCCAAATCCCCATACTAAAAAAATACTTAAACCACTTTCTTTGAAACAAAAATAACATAATACAAACATTATAAATTATAAAGTATCAACTTATTAAAAAACATTTATTAAGTAAATATACTATAAAATAGAGTTTTTTATTCTAAAAAAAGGAAAGCAAATGAACAAATTTCTTGAATTTTGATATAGAATATTCGATGTATTAATAATGAGAAATCAGCGGTGGTAAATCATTTTCACACGAACGGGAAATCAACGGTCGTGATTTTCCTTGCCACTACAATTGGGCCTACCGGCTCTGAAATGGTAACCCAGATGTAGCAGTACCGGTAGCAGCTGATTAAATCCTTCGGGCTGCATAAACCCTACATGGAGCCTGATGGCGAAAAGTGAGATTCTCCTTGCATTTCATTTATTATTCTTCTAGTTTCATCGATTTCTGTGTGCTTGTTTTTGTATTTTTGTTTGTTATTCGTTGATCGTGATTCCATAACGAGACAAAATGTTAAATGAACTATTTCTTTTTTGAAAAATGGTGGTTTCGTGGCTGGAAGCCTGGAAATTTCATTTTGAAGAAGAGATTTTCATGCACGGCAAACGGTTGGTTCTCATTCTTGGAATATACTTGCATGGGTTGTAGTAGAGCCCTTTGACTGAGCTTTTGACTAGCATCTGACTCTCGGTAATGGCGGTTTTGATCTACTTGCACTGTGGTTGTATATTTTACGATATTAAACCACTCTTGAAACCCTTGTTCCGTACTTTATTATTATTATTTTGTTGACTCGATGTTCTCGATCTCATGAGCTGAGTGTAACAAATGGTATCGTATTTGAAGAGAGAAGAAGTCTAATGTGAATGTTGAATCATTGGTTTAGTCGGTCTTGGTGTAATGATCGAAATAAACTTTCTAACGTGGCAACATTATGGAGAAAGAATATGGGAGTGATTCTTGAGCGGAGAAAACCAAGCTATAATACTACTGAATTTCTTTATCAATAACTACAAGGAGTCGTGAGTAAAAGCAACGATAAATTATGGACGGATTCGTTAACCTTTGTTCTAGTCCTAGATAGTAAAAGCTCTAAGCTCAATATCTACAGTTAAAAGCTGAGAGAAAGAATACAGAAGCTCTTATGAGAGATGAAGATGAGAATATAGGAATCGGAAGTAGAGTAACAAGAAATATTTCGATATTAACCAAAAGATCGTAAAGAACACGCTTTATTTGTCTCAAGGATGCTCCAAGATTAATTGTCTTTAGAACAAGTCTAATAATCGACATCAAGAAGGAGATTAAAATTCTGCAAGTATCTTGCAAGGTTATGGAATCAGCTGAGGTTGATGATATCAGACGAAGAATATAGAAAGGAAAGGATTTTAGACTTGGACTATACTTTCCACGTAAGTAGTGCTCATGTGACGTAACATCGCATGAGCACTACTTTTTTTGTCTCGATATGATTTATCTGATGGCATATAGAGAACATTCCTCCCCTTTTAGACTTGGTTAATTACCTTGGACGAAGTTGTCAAGTCGGAAGGAAGAATAGTCAAGGTGTGTTAAAGCTCCTTTCTTATAATGAAGTGAAATAGACAGCCACCTAAGCTTGATCACTAGACCATTTGGGCGTGCAACTTATCACATATGGATACATCTATCTCAAGCAAGATAAGCTTGACCCGAGGCCTGGAAACTAGAAAGGGCATTCTTGTACGGGTGAAAGTATTAGAACCAGGTGAAAGAAAAATTTGTAACAATAGAAATGCATCTCTTAATGAGGAATTAATGCCGTGGCTGGACTCTCACAAGATAGACATGGGGAATTGTAAAATGACTATTCACACGTCAACTTTGTATCTTTTTAACAATTTTGCGATTGAGCAAGGTTGGAGTTGGTTGAGTTAATCAAGAGTATCTGACTAAAATAGTAACGTCCAAAATGCGCTTAATGCTAGATATGAATGTCGGAGGGGGTGGATTGTTCAATGACAAGTTGTCATAAGCTATAGAGTCTGTTATTTTCTGTTAACCTGTTGTCCTTTTTCTGGTTAATTAATTAATAATGGTTAGGCTGGTATTGCTAAGGTAATAGAAATAACACAGAGATAGAGGCTTACACGAGTTGAAATAGAACTTCAACTGAGTTGTGTAATAGCTTCCGGTTCCTAATAATGGAGGTTTTGATCTAGGCGCTGCTTAGTGGATGCAGATCGTTTGCAGTTGAACCACTGAATCCTTGTTGTTACCTCTGCTCTTAATTGTGTGTTATCTTTCTTGATTACATGAACTGAGAGCAAACTTCAACTTAGACTTTGATATGCCGTTAGTTCTTGCATATTATTTGGATAATTCCATGTATTATAGAGATGCTCAAATTTAAGACTTCAAAACTCAAGAGCTTAATTCCACTTTCTCATTTGTTTTATGTAGGACGATTAAAATGAGTTCGGCATACTTTAGTTTCACTTATAACTTATAAGCAAATTGCATAGGATGTCAATTATGAAATTCGGTTTAAACTTTCGGTATGCCAGTAATCCTTACTTTTGGTGGTTGGAGAAAAGCACAGCAATGTCGGGAAAGCAGCTTGATCAATGGAGTGGGAACCAATATTATGACTATGATTCTAACGACTATTCATACGACCCTTCATCTCAAGGTTATGAGATTCAGCCAAGTAGCTATGAACAAAGCTGGAGGTGTCATGATCGTGACAGGACTACTGGAAACTATCAGACTGCCTCAACAAAGGAGGTTGCTTCTCGTGGGGAAACTTTCAAGGAGAGATCAACTGGCAGAGTTGGCTACGAGGATGAATTCAAAACCACCTCTACTTACAGGGTCGGTGACCGAAGTGGATATACCGAGTATCAGTGCCAGGAGAGGTATCGGCAAGTTGATTTCGGTAGCAGCGGATCGGGAAGTAAGGGGGGGAACAGCAACTCTTCATCAAGCAAGAAATATATTAAATGAATGGCTGGGGTAAGTGCAAGTATGTTTGCATGTTTGCTCTCTTGCTTTGAATTTGGGTTCTTTTGTGCAGACTTACGTTTTGTTATGATGTTTTCTGATGTCTGAACACTGCTATTTTTCCTTTAGATCTAAGAGAGCCTTTGTTGTTTTGGGTGTTGGCAATGCTCTAATAGGTTTAGAGAGCTGAATTCCAAAAACAAAAATATATGGGTATTGTATCGTTTGTTGGCATTTTGATTATCTGTTTACACACTAGCATTGAAATTTTTCTGTTTTAGTTTAAGCCAATTATCATAGGTTAACTAACAGTTAAGAAATACCACTAGACGTTGTATGGTTTTTTCTCAGAAATAGAATATCTCACTACCCAATTGAACTTGAGATTCTCCACCCCATTTTTGTCCATGTAATTAGATGAAAATGTTTTAAGTATCAGTACTTGTTAGATTTATTAGAATTAAAATTTGATATATTTATTAGGATTTATTAGAATTAACAATTGAAGGATATTGTTTGATCGTTGAGGGATATTGTTTTCTAGGTTTGAAATGTATTTTTAAAATTTTTATTTTGGCATATGAAATTTGTAGATAAGTATTTTGGTTCTTGAACAATTGGGTTTATTTCATTTTTTGTTCTTTGAACTTTGGAAATGTCATTCAATTGATGGATTAGGTGACTCAGTTTTATGTGCTGGTTTGGGCATGTGTATTGGCATCACCCAATATAATCAAATTAGTATGGGGTGAACTGATATTAGCCAAAATAATGGTGGATTAAAATTTTTAATTATTTGAAAAAGAAATTAGATGCTTGGAATTAAAATATACATTTTGAAGGTGGCCGATGAGATTTAACTTTAAAATAAAATGAATTATGGCTAATAAGAAATTTGTGACAAATGCACATGCATTAAGCCATTAACATTGATTATTCACACAAATTTACAAAACTTGGTAACACCTCTCTCCTCTTTCCCTCCACACTTGAATGACAATAATGAGAAGCATATGACCAAATTTCCTAAAGGCCATAACCAAGCAGTTCGCAATCCTGAAAAATCCCCTCGGTTGAATTAGTGTTCCAGAGGTCTAAAGCTGCTGCAGATTTTGCATCAAAATCATCACACCACCAAACCAAACTCTCCTTGGAGTCATCCATTTCCTTCACATTATCAATCTCTATGGCTCCTCCATCTTCCTCCCCCGAGCTCGAACCCATCAGACTCTTCCCTCCTGTCGATGTGGGCAGTTGTCCTGTTACCACCTTAGCTTCCTCGCCAGTGGACACCGTTGGCCAGAGCGCCGCAGCGTTGTAGACAGAGTAGGAGTTATGAAGGCCTTGAAGCTGCATTTGGAGCTGAAGCCTTTCCATGGTGGAGTTGGAGTTGGACGGTAACTTGTTGACGTTAGAGGAGTGTTTTGGAGTTCCGAGCAGTTTCTTCTTCAACTTCGTGTTCCAGTAGTTCTTTACGTCGTTGTCTGTTCTCCCTGGCAACTGGGCTGCAATTATAGACCACCTGAAAGCAAAAAATGAGGATCTTTTTTAATCCTTATTATAATTAGCCTCTCTAGTCGCAAACAAAAAGCAGAGCAGGAATTTCAAGAAGAAGTGTGTTTTTGAATTTATACAATTGCTTCTCTTTTGTCACTGTCTTGTGATGTTATGCTTAACGTGACCATCATTTTCCTACCCAAAATTGTTTCAAACCAATTTAAAGTTTTAAACTTAATTTGTGTTCAAAATTGAAGAGAGTGGACGTAGGCATAGCTTAGAAACGTATTTGGAAAGAGAGACCTGGTGCCAATGCTTATGAAGAGGTTGCAGATGATATTGTCTTCCTCTTGAGAGAATCCGCCATGTTTGATATTTGGTTTCAGATAATTGAGCCATCGAAGCCTGCAACTCTTCCCACATCTCTTCAGCCCTGTAATAAAATAAATTCAACAACCCTTTAGTTTGGAGTTAGAAGAGAGGATATTAGTTTGGTTTGGACCTATTTTGTTGGGAAGAGCAATCCAGTTGCCTCCAGTTCCATAGTGTTGGATATAAGCCTTGAGCTTCTCATCTTCCTCAGCTGACCACGCTCCTTTCTTCACCTTATCTTTGTCACAGCATGCTGCTCGCCCCATCTCTCTCAAAGTAAACTTTCACAACTTCTGAGGGTAGACCACAAATTTATAGGTTTGAAATTTTAGTCCCATCCTCGTTTCCAATTTTATTAAGAAATCTAAGTACTTGACAACTATTTATGTTTCTTGTTTCTCAATTTTTATAACATTCTCAAAATTTTATAAAAGCTCTAGGGCCAACAAAATCAAGTTTTTTGCCTATTGTTTTGGGTTTTCGATTTGTTTCTAACATAAATAAAATTTTTATTTTATCATTCTTGAATTCAAGGGTTGAAAGTCATGCAATTCTTTTCTTCTATTTTTATTAAAATGAGAAAACATAAATAAGAAATTGATGCTTACCTAACACTYTTGTTTTATTTGACTATCTATTTTTTAAGATTAAACTTACAAACACTGTGTTCACAAGTTTCTTTATTTTGTGTTACCTTCTCTTTTAAAAACTAAGAACAAACCCGATATCTTTTGAAAACTTTTTTTTTTAAATGGTGAAGAAGTCAATTTGTGTTTTTAAAAAATGCGAAAATTTTGTACCAAATAATTATTAAAAATAGAATGTTTATTCAACGGGGCCTAGACCTTCAAGATGGTGTCAATTTAGTTTCCTAAAATTTTGAAATTATGCCTATTTAATGCTTTAAAAAGTTTTTAATAATTTGTCTATTCATTCATCCACATTTACTTTGACATGTGAACTTACTGGATACAATTGAAAGTTTAGAGATCCAAAAAAAAAAAATTTGTAAAGTAAATAGACTAATATAGACACAACTTTAGAAATTTTAGAGACTAAATAAATACAATCTTGAATGTTTAGAGATTGAATTTTTAATTTAACTTAAATATATATAAATAACAATATTTCACTTGATTGAATGGTAATTAGATTGATATTAAACTATAGATGCGTCAAACTAATGTTGATAGTCATTTGTTAGATCTTATACTAATTTTCACACTAACACTTCTCAAAATCTCAAAAGGTAGTGAGTTAGAATCTCATTCTAACTAAGGATTCTTGTGGTTCCGGAGGATCCAGCTACAGGAGAACCAGGAACGGAGAGCTTTCCTCTTTTCCGCCCGCCTCTTTGGTCTTAAGAATGCTGATTTTAAGAATGAGTGATTGTCCTTCTCCGATCCTTACTGCCCAACCCGAGAGCGGACAACTAATGCGTTCCACTTATTGAACAGGGTTCTATGGTCGGTCCGCGACCCCTGGATACCAAAGACGTCCTTGGGGTAATCTCGCACTACGAGGTGGAGACGATGGGGTCGGTCCATGGATTTTTCTTCCTTTTGCCGCATTTCTCTCAAAGGGTTGAAAGGATCTCGTGCATCAAGCTGGCCAGATGATCGAGAGTGTCAAAAATATAATAATAAAAATTTACTGAAATCCATCCGCTTCAACTTTTAGATGAAGGGGTGATTCAAGAGTTCTCCCTCATCTATCCCTATCCCTCTGGCTCATTTGGATTAGTTCAATGGTCTATCTTAAAATGCATGCAACTGGACAAAGTACAACACGAATTTTTCTTAAGCTTTTGCATATTAAATTGGGATTGCTTTTTGGGGTTTATAATTAGTTTTATTGGGATTGGAATTATTGCCAAATTATTTTAACTTATTAAAGAGCATCAATTTCTTTCCTATTGTCTCTATTATCCTTTATAATGTTCCTTTGCCAACCACAAACAATCCCTTATCTCTATATTCAATTTTGATCTGCCTTTCCATAATTTTTTAAGCTATTCTATTACATTTCTAATAATTTAATTAAACATTTTATTCTTTAAATGATTGTGAGATCTTTTTTTTTATCAAAATCCTATGTGTGTGTTTGAAAATGTTGATGTATGTTATGTTTATTTTGTAATATTAATTTTATCTACACGTAGACGTAACTATGGTTACTAAGGCTTCATTTGATAATCATTTCGTTTTTTCGTTTTCTGTTTTTAAATATTAAGCTTAGAAACATTACTTTCACTCATATGTTCATTTGTTTTGTTATATAGTTTTTTTAAAATATTTTTAAAGTTTATGCCAAACTTGGAAAAYCCAAAAAAGGTAGTTATAAAAAAATTATTTTTGTTTTCAAAATTTAGCTAAAAATTTAAATATGCTTTCAAGGGGTGAAAATTTACTAACAAAATTGTATAAAATAAGCATAAYTTTTTGTATAAAAAAGATTTGATATATTACTTTCACATGCCACATTAATTTACATATATATTTTTAACTTTATCCATTTATTATTTGTCTCTCATCTCTCGTCTTTGAGTTAGAAGTTTTGTGAGCAAGTCATGTCATCATTTAATTAACAATAAATATTACATAAATTCACAATCCTAACCTCGGTTCATAATTCGAAAAATTTAGTTTTATTATTTTTGTTGACAAAACTAAATACTCGTGGACTATAATGTTTATATAAGAGAAAAGACTCCAAAAAAAATTCTCTGATTCGTTACACACTTGAACTTCTCGTAAACTCATTTATAAGATTAGTCGATGTAATGAACTCCTCAAAAGATTCAAGTTATACCCTCGAACTTCAAACTTGAAACAAAATCGTACATGTAAAACTAAATGTCGAATAAATAAACAAGAATTCTATCGAGATTTTTTTTCGCAATTTGCAATAATTAAAGTTAGAGAACTTATGATGATGAATTTATACTTTTTCCAACCCGTTCTTACAAGATCCAACCACACTTTATAAAAGACCAAATGATAGGTGTTGAAAAGCTTTGATTGGAGAGAGTTTCCTGGCCAACTACTTATACAGAAAAATGGCTAATTAATTATAAAGACTTGCAATTTACCTAAAACACTTCATAATCTATAGCCTTTCAAAGCTAACATATTTTGGTTGGTTCTTGGTGGTCAAAGTTTGACTTTTTGGATAAGTAGAAATAATATCAATTAAACATGTTTTTCCATTTTAAAATCAAATTAAGTATGTTTTAATTATTATCATTAACTCAATTATTTGTACAATTGACAAAGTCAAAATAGTCACAAATTATGATAGTCAATTTTGGTTAATTTGTTTGCTTTGTGGTCTTTTATTAATTAATGATGGAGCTACATTGAAGTTCAAGCCTATAAAACTTATCTTTTATACTACCTACTAACTATTATAAATCGTGAATTGAGAAATAAAAAACAAACTTTTCAATTAAATATAGATTTTATTAGAACTTTTTTTCAGTACAACATTTGGGGGTGGGGATTCTAATTGATCACGAAATTTTGGTCAGAGATCGGTGTCCTAACCAGTTGAGTTATGCTCAACTTGACTCTTACTACAACTTTTTGGATAGATATGTAAATGTAAATTGATCAAATATCATCAAATTTAGGCGGTTTCCTACGAACTTGACTTTCTCTCTAATATGATCCCTTTTTTCCTCTGACCCGTAGTTTTTTCCATTAAATTTTTTACATGATTTTTTTTTTCAATACAACAAATATATGATTTGAGATTTGAATCTCTCATCTCAATAAAATAAATAACTTAACTGCTAAGCTAGGCTCATGTCGGCTATTTTTTACGTAATTTATGTCTTCTATTTTCTATCATTCCACCACTCCTAATATTTAAGCCAATCCAAAGTGAAACCTCATTGACCTTCAATTCTGACTTTTACTTACCCCAATATTTAAAAACCAAAAAATTACCCAACAAGCTGCTTTTTATTACTTAATTAATTACAACAGGAAATTAAAGTAGATTATCCTCAACTAATTAAATCCCAAAAAGCAAACTGAATACAATTAATTATTATTGGGATCCTCAAGATCAAGAAATTTGCAACTCTCTTGTGTTTGTCATTTCTCTTAATCCATTCCCCAAAGTGCGAGCTGGTAAGGAGAGAGTGGTCCTTAAAAGACAAGCATATGTCCCATAAACTAAATCAAATGTTTAATATTTAGTATTTAATTTCCTATTAAAAAAGTTGACCCACCTTTCTTATACTTGGGCTTTGAGGTTCATTTGATGATTGATAAATTAGAAATATTTACTAACTTCACTTTTGATTGTTTGTGTACCAAATCAACTGTTTATTTTATGCCTTCCGATGTGAATTATGAAACTTTTTCATGTGTATGTGTTGATCTTATGATAGTTTGGTTAATTAGTGTGGAATATTGTGACTTATAATGTTCCTCCTATGTTAACGCATTTGGAATTTATTGAATGATAAGAATTTAACGAAGGGAGTATGGATTGTTTGACAACGAATCGAGTCTTCAAACTTTTAGAAGTTTCAATTATTACACGTATATGAACTACTAAAATGTGAAATGGACAATTACGAGATAAAATATGGTTGAAATAAAAATCGGATAAAAAATATTTCATTTGTTTTCAACCCAGTTGACCTTATTTTATTCAGTTTATCGCATGTTAACGTTTAAATAATAGTTTTAATGACATGGACTTATTAGAATTGAAATGTAATTGAAACTTTTTTTTTTAATTTAGGTACTGAAAAGACACCTCGTCAATATTTAATAACCATATTTCTAATTTATCCTATATGTATAAAGAAAATGGTGACACCATTGTCACCTCTCTACGTGAATCTAAATCATAGATTTTTCGTTTCAACCATTGTTACCTCTCTACGTCTAAATCGTAGACTTTTCAAAACCTCACACAAGTTCACAACTTGAAATAAGATGTAAACCTATTACCTTCTCGAAACAAAAATTAAAAAATTTGTTGAACATTCTAAAATAAATTACACAAAATTCAACCAACAAAATATCAAAAAACAAAACACGTATCCAAACTGAACCGTACAAATAACAGAACCTAACCAACAAAACCAAACAGTAAAAAACCACTCAAAGATCAAACTCAACATAAAAAATATCCAAACCCGAGTAAATATCATCCAACATCGTAAGAAGAATCAATATCCTACAAAGATAGTCTCGTCCAACTATAAAAATGTAGCTCAAACTTCTCGTAAAAAAAAAAAAGAAGAAA